AAAGAGCAACTAAACTGAGCAACTAAACTGAACTGAACTGAAGGTCCACTTGACGTCACATTCTAGGATGTATGGCTTTAGGTGAGTGATCACACCGTCATGGTTATCTGGGTCATTAAGATCTTTTTTGTATCGTTCTTCTGTGTGTTCTTGCCACCTCTTCTTAATATCTTCTTTCCTTAGGTCCATACCATTTCTGTCCTCTGTTGTGCCCATCTTTGCATGAAATGTTCCCTTGGCATCTGTAATTTTCTTGAAGAGATTTCTGTTCTTTCCCACTCTATTGTTTTCCTCTATTTCCTTGCATTGATCACTTAGGAAGGTTTTCTTATCTCTTCCTACTGTTCTTTGGAACTCTGCATTCAGATGTCTATATCTTTCCTTTTTTCCTTTTCCTTTTACTTCTCTTCTTTTTTCAGCTATTTGTAGGCCTCCTCAGACAACTATTTTGCCTTGTTGCATTTCTTTTTCTTGCAGATGGTTTTGATCACCGCCTCCCACACAATGTTATGAATCTCTGTCCATAATTCTTCAGGCACTCTGTCTATCAGAGCTAATCCCTTGGATCTATTTGTCACTTTCACCATATAATCATAAGGGATTTGATTGAGGTCATATCTGAATGGCTTAGTGGTTTTCCCTACCTTCTTCAATTTAAGTCTGAATTTTGTAAAAAGGAGAAAGCCCTTACAGGGATATTAATGTTCTTTCATTCTGGCCTTTTTTCATCAGTAAAGCCAGCCTATGATTCTAAAACAGTATGATTCTAGAGCAGGTACAGTCTCTCAAAGGACTGTAAGGACTAGGACTACAGTGGAGGTGGGGGTAGGGTGAGGGAGGAGGGCGAAATGCAGGTATAACCCTTAATCCAAGTACAGGGTAAAATGGATGAGAACACATCCTGGACTTGGAATTTAGAAGTCTAGTGCAACCTCTACCACTAACACTGAGGGGCTTGAGGAAGTCACTTAATCCCACCGGCTTCCTAGTTCATGCATTTGTAGCAAACTATCTCAATGGTCCCTCTCAGAAGGAATGACAACCTACTCCAGTATTCTTGCCTGGAGAATTCCATGGACAGAGAGCCTGGTGGGCTAAAATCCATGTGGTTGCAAAGAATGGACATGACTGAAGCAACTAATAGTCCCAGAAGCAGATTAACATGCTTCACTCTGTCTCCCTTTCCCCTGTGCCTTCCCTTTTGATGCTAGAATATCTAACAATACTTTTGAATGGAACAAATTCCAGATTCTCAAATTTCCTATGTACTTGCCACTAGAATTCACCTGCCTGAAAATGAAGTTTATAATCTGAAGATTTTCCTTCTTTGCTTCCCCTTTTTTACAATTGTTCTTCTCAGTGGAGAAAGAAAACAACATAAAGCATGTGGTCACAAAGATTGTAGGTTTAGCTCTTTCTCTTCAATGAGGCAGCCAGTAAGAAGATGCAAATCTTTTTGAGATACTAATGGGGTCTTTGGTCTTGAGGTTGAGCCCAGTGACCATGTCAAAGGTGTCAAAGGAATGTCAAAGGCAAAATTCAAGACAAAGAGGGCACCCCACCTATCCAGCAGCTTCCAATTTCCATGGGCAAACAGCTGGAGGGTTTCAATACTCAGACTACAACATCCAGAAAAAATTCACTCTGAACTTGTTCCTTCACCTACCAGGTGGCATTACTTCCACTAGTTAGACCAGAAATATCACTTTGACAAGGTAATCTGTCCCAAGGGCTTCCCTCATCTGCCCGCCTACACTGCTGAATGTTACAAGCTGTACCAACAACCTGCCCCTCAAGAAGAAGGTCCATTACAACCCCTCCTGCTCTGTAGGGTGGTATTCCATTAGCCTTGGGTCTCAACAAAGTTTCCTTTCAGTTGACTGGAGCAGCAAAAAAGAAGGATTGCAGATTTAAACTTAACTATAACTTAACTATGGGGCATCCCTGGTGGTGCTAGTGGTAAAGAACCCATCTGCCAATGCAGGATACCTAAGACACGTGCGTTTGATCCCTGGGTTGGGAAGATCCTCTGGAGGAGGGCATGGCAACCCACTCCAGTATTCTTGCCTGGAGAATCCCATGGACAGAGGATCCTGGCAGGCTATAGTCCATAGGGTTGCAAAGAGTTGGACACGACTGAAACGACTCAGCAGGCCACACGCAAATCTTAACTATATCAGTAATCACAGTGAATGTAAATGGGCTAAATACTCTAGGCATAAGTCAAAGATTGCTCATTTATTTTCTTGTTTTAAAACTGCTTAAAAGTATGCTGCTTATGAGACACATACCACAAATATACAGCAAGACTGAAGTATAAGGATGGGAAAAAAATACAATGTAAACACTAGCCAAAGGAAGTTGGTATAGCTATATTGCTATCAGAAAGAGTAGATTTTAAGATAATAAGTAGTCTCTGAGAATAAAGAAGGACATTTTATAATAATTATGAATTATTATATAATATTAATTAGTATAATAATAATAAATATTAGATCTATTATTATAATAATTGATCCAACAAGAAGATATCAAAATTGAACATCTCTATCATATAGAAAATGACAAAACTGAAAGGAGAAATTGACAGTTCACAGTCACACAGTGAGATGTTAAAGCATCTCTCCACTTTAACAGAACATAGAAAAGTCAGTAAGTGTCTAGATCTTCGTGGATTATTAATAAACTTGACCTAATTTGCATACATAAATCACTGTATCCACAGTTGCACAATCATGCTTTCCAAGTGTGCAAGAAGGAATAAGGAGAGCAGGGATAGTTGTTTCCAGAGAGTTCCCATCACTTAAAGTACATCCAAAGAAGAAATATTCTGATAAAGAGACAGAATCTAACAGGTGGTACTCACAGACGTGTACACAGAAATCTGAGAGTGTTGCCATAGGAACGAGCACATGGGAAACCAGGTAAGAGGTATTAAAAGAAGGCATTCTTCCAGTAAAAGGTTAGTCACAAGTTGGAAGAAATAAAGGGAGGAGGTGCAGTTCCCAACCCTAATAACCTTGTAGACAGACACCGTACTCACAGTGAAAATCATGGGCCTGTACCTGTATCAAACTATTCATTAATGTTCATTTATTCATTTAATAATGACCGAATGAATGCCTACCTTGTGCCAGGTACCATGAGGATGCTTGGTTATATAGGTAAACAAGACATAGGGCTCACTGTCACTGGTACAGATAGGTAAATAAGTGGGAAATTATGATCTGGTGAATTAAGTTCTATAAGACAAATTGGTCTGGATTTAATTGGGTCCAACTATTAGAGCCAAATAAAAGGGAGCCCAGCTTGAGGAGTGGGCAGCTCTGCATCTGGAGTTAAGGATTTCAAAGGAAAGGGACAGAGGTAGATAGAGGGAATCAATAAAATGTATTTGGATAAGATCATCTTGAGAATATCCTGCATTTAGTACTGAAATTCAGGAAAGATGGGGGCAAGAGAAGCTTAACAAAGTGATAATGCAAAAATTCACCACTAAAAAAATTAAATAGCTCTAATCTACAGATGACAGTCTGAGAAAGCAAAAAAAAATGACATACAAAAGAGTGTGCTTCTGTACATATAAACCATAAGAAACAGATAATAATGGATTATTCTGGAAAATGGGACTACAGAACAAGTGTGGACCATTGTGAAAATAGCCACGCTGGTTTATAGCTGTTTGCATCAGGATTTGCTTTGGCCTTGCTATTTGCTTTGATTGACAGAAAGCAGCTGGAAGGATAATACTGTGTGAGTTCCTGCTCTAGTTTTGAAGAGGCCATGTGGTTTTTTCTCTCACAATCTTAGAATGCTGAGACTGCCATGTGAGCAGGGCTAGCCTGAGGGAAGACAAGAAACATGTGGCCTGTCACTTTACTGGCCTTAGCTGATAGCCAGGCAACCCCAACAATGGGGCCAGGCTGCTGGCTGTCTGCTGACCATAGAGGCACATGTCAGCCCAGCCAAGACCAGTAGAAGGAATATCCAGCCCATCCTAGCCCAAATCATTGATTCATAGAATTGAGAACTAAATTCATTGTTGCTGGTGTTTTTTTTTTAATTTAAATTTTTTGAATTGTGATAGAAAACATGTGCTCTAATATTCACCCTCTTAACCACCTTTAAGAGTCCAGTTCAGTAGTGTTTACTATAATCACTTTGTTACATAACAGCTCTCTAGAGCATGTTCATTTTCCCAAGTTGAAACTCCATACCAACTGAACAAAGCTCCCCATTTCCCCCTCCCTACAGTCCCCTGTAACCACAGTCTACTTTCTGTGCCCACGCTTTTGACTACTCTAGATACCTCCTGTAAGGGAAAACATACAGTATTTGTCTTTTTGTGATGGGTTTATTTCACTCCGCAAAGTTCACCCATGGTGTAGCATGTAAAATGGTCACTATTATAAGCCACTATATTTGAAGAAGGTTAACTGATATAAAAAGGATAGTCTCAAAGGGTTTGATTCATTAAGTCTGGGATAAAGACTTGAAATTTGGTGAAAATATTGGTTTAGATATTAGTTGGAGGAAATAGCAAGAGAAGAGACTTCAGAGTTTAACTACAAGCCACACGAGACTTGAGGACCAGGGTAAGTCCTGTGAGACTTATTGTTTAGGCCAGTGTTCCCTCAACGGCCCTTCAGAGTTGTGTCAATGAGTGTTGTGCTCAGGATGAAAAAAGTTCTTTGGTTGAATATGTTGGGGAAATGCTGCATATATATTATATATAATTATATCATATTATATATATTTATATTCATTATATATAGAATATAGTATAAGTAATATTGCATCTGTCCAATAGAAATATATTGGGGGCCCCACATATAACTCTAAAAATTTTAATAGCCACATTAGAAAAGTAAAAAGAAACAGGTAAAGTTAATTTAATAATACTTTATCTAACTGATCTATAATATCATTTTATCATGGGACTACTCATTTATATCAATTATATAAAAGTCACTCGTATATTTTACTCTTTTTTCCTTTAGTGAGTCTTCCAACGCTGGTGTGTATTTCAGCTTAAATATACATCTCAGTTTGGATGAGCCACGTTTCAAGTGCTGAGTAGTCACCTGTGACTCATGGCTACTACTTTGGACAGCCCATCTCCAGAGAGTCCAGCAGAAAGCCCAGGTTTGGCTCTGATGTTATAGTCTTGCTATTGGTTGTCTCTGATTGATTGCATTTTCGACTTAGGCCCTTCCCTTCTTTTGAGGGATGCTAAGCTGAGAGTCAAAAAATTGATGCTTTTGAACTGTGGTGTGGGAGAAGACTCTTGAGAGTCCCTTGGACTGCAAGGAGATCCAACCAGTCCGTCCTGAAGGAGATCAGTCCTGAGTGGTCACTGGAAGGACTGATGCTGAAGCTGAAACTCCAATACTTTGGCCACCTCATGCGAAGAGCTGACTCATTGGAAAAGACCCTGATGCTGGGAGGGATTGGTGGCAGGAGGAGAAGAGGACGACAGAGAATGAGATGGTTGGATGGCATCACCGACTCGATGGACATGGGTTTGAGTAGACTCTGGGAATTCGTGATGAACAGGAAGGCCTGGCATGCTGCGATTCATGGGGTCACAAAGAGTCGGACACAACTGAGCGACTGAACTGAACTGATAGGAGGCAATCAGAGAAAGCAATGGCAACACACTCCAGTACTCTTGCCTGGAAAAACTCCTATGGACGGAGGAGCCTGGTAGGCTGCAGTTCATGGGGTTGCTGAGAGTCGGACACGACTGAGCAACTTCACTTTCACTTTTCACTTTCATGCACTGGAGAAGGACATGGCAACCCACTCCAGTGTTTTTGCCTGGAGAATCCCAGGGACGGCAGAGCCTGGTGGGCTGCCGTCTATGGGGCCGCACAGAGTCGGACACGACTGAAGCAACTTAGCAGCAGCATAGGAGGCAATTGTCTATAAAATAGGCCTTGTGTTCACTGGGAGGATGTTCATCTTCCCGTTATACAGTGTTCTCTTTATGAAAATCCTGGGGAGAAGTCTGTTTTTGTTCTTAGAATCTAAAATAGTTGGACTTGTCTTGGTTTGTTCTGATCTTTGAGACATTATATATTGTGTAACTAATTTCTTTTTCTATTTTTTACTGGCTACTAGAAATGTAGAATCAAATCTGTGGCCTACACATAGTATGCATATAGGATACATTTCCCCCAATGTGTTCTGTTTATTATCAGTTTGCAAACCACTGGTGTTCTTCAGTGCATGTTTTGTGAGATACTGCAGCTAACTGAACAGTCACTTGCCAGATCCAAATGATAACACTGATACTGATTTAAAAAAAAACAAAAACAAAAAACTGGTGATGGAGTGAGCAACGAGAGACAGCAGAACAAGAGTGGGGCAGGTGAGCATCCATGGGCAGGAATAATGGGCAAGGTCTGAGCACCTGGTCCAATAGACTTCCTGCCTTCCATCTGGTTTCTCAGAGCTTCTAGCCAGGAGGTTTTTAAAAAACACCTTCCCCGGTGGCTCAGACAGTAAAGCGTCTGCCTGCAATACGGGAGACCTGGGTTCGATCCCTGGGTCGGGAAGAGCCCCTGGAGAAGGAAATGGCAACCCACTCCAGTATTCTTGCCTGGAAAATTCCATGGATAGAGGAGCCTGGTAGGCTACAGTCCACAGAGTTACAAAGAGTCGGACACGACTGAGCAACTTCACTTGCTTTCTTTCTAGCCAGGGTAAGGCCCACCTGTTTCTCGTTGCTGGAAATGGTGGCAGCTCCCTCCGGCTAGTCTGTGGTGGCCCAAATCGACTGGTTGGAAGGGAACCCCAGCAGCCAGAATCAAGCAGCCTTAGGAGTCCAGAGGCCCGGAAGCTGAGAGGGTCCTCACTTCCCCGGTGATTTTCCCAGGGCAGGACCCAGGACAGGACGCTCCCTCCAGCCAAGAATCCACCTTTGGATTCTGACCTTGACAGCTCAAGCCAACACAGGACGCCCTGGGGCGGGAACTGCCCATCTTTAGCACTGGATCACCCAGTCTGTGGCTGTGGATGAACAGCGCAGGTAGCTGGGAGAATTGTGAAGGGCAGGAGATGTAAATCACTGACACCTCCAGCGCCCTGTCACTTGTCTCCTTCTGGGAACAGGGATGGGGATTTCCTCACTGGGCCACCCCCCACCCTTTGCGTGCAGTCCAGGGCAGCCATGACAGCAAAGAGGCTTCCTTCAACCTGTCAGCTACAAATTGGCGCTCACCAAGAAGAGCATTGCCAATGACTGAACAACAAAGGCATTTGCCATCTGCCTCTATGAAGACTGAAGCCCATGCTGCTATAGCTGTTGACCTTCAACAATCCCTGAGGGAGCTCAGGGTGGAGTGAGGCACTCTGTGCTCCAGGGAGTCTGGTGGGGCAGGTCTTTAGATGGATGTTAGCCGGATGTTTTTAGGAACAGATTTTATGATCTCAATCCTTGCACCTCTTCATATCTAAAGAAGCACTAAATCCCTTCATGGTGACATCAGACCCTCATAACTAACAAAAAACCCTCTGTAAATTGAGTGTTTCATGGTATTGAACTCCCCCTTCACCAAAACCTCATATATTGACTTTCCTCCACTGCCGCTTTGGAGCATCTCTAAGCTATCTGAGTTGCTGCCTCCCCAGCTGCAGTCCTCATTTTGCCCCAAATAAAACTTAACTCACAACTCTCAAGTTGTACATCTTTTTTTAGTCGACAAACGGAAGAGATTTTGGCCGCTCCGCCCTTTACGTCTGCTCTGCGGGCCTCCACCTACACACCCCTCGGCCTGCGAAAGGGGAGCGAGGGAAGATGTGGGGTGGGGACACTGGTAGAAGGAGAGATCGCCTAGGTGCCTGCAAGTGCGCTCGCCAGGGAAGCCACTAGGGGTCGCTCCGTCCGGGCTCCAGCGCCCAGGGGCCGGGGTGGGGAAGGGAGGGCGGGGGTGAGGGCGAAGAGGGCAGCCGCTTTCCCGGCCGGCGCGCGGGGTGCATCTTTCGTTGCAGGAGCGGGTGCTGGTGGTTCTCCGCAATACAGCTCTGGGCAACCGATTGCTCCGCCCGGTCGCCTGGGGCAGCGCAGTTGGGTCACCATCTTTTATTTTACTCCAAACCATCCCGGCTCCCGCTTGGCGGCCCTTTCCCCGCCCCAAAGGCGATCAGACAGTCAGGCGCAGCGTGATGACTTCAGATTCCTGGAAGGGGTGTGCTGAAGTCAGGGGACCAGGTCCTAAAACACCGAGTGCTAACCCCCTGACCGCCCCACTTCGCTTTCCCCCTCAGGTCTGAGAGTGATCCAAAGATTCCGGACTGGGATGAAGAGTGGCCTCAGGGTGTGGTTGGGCCAAACAGCATTGTGTGGGCTAAGATCACGAACACTGAGTCATTGCCTCCAGCTTGGAAAAGCATTTTCCAGCCCTTTGACCTTAGGCAAGTCTCTCAGCCTCTCCGTGCCGGTTTCCTGTAAAGTGGAAATAATCACCCATGACCACCGCAGGGGGTCCTCGCGGAAATCCAGCGACTTGATGTTTTTATTAGAGTGCTGAGGACCGGGCCTGTTCATAGAGTGCTATGTAAATATTGGTTAAATAAATAAAGCAGCAGGAAGGGACTTGGAGAGAGTTCTGGGGGGAATAACGAGGGTGACTTCCTTCCTGGCAGAGCCAGAGCAGTGAGATAAGGAGCCATGTGGTGTGCGGACTCCAGATACAGAGAGCAATCCAGGCTCATTACAGAAGGCTAAAGTGCAAGCCACGGGGATCAGAGGGATGCGGATCTCTGGGCCAGAGGTGCTGTGAAATATGTCAGATCCACAAAAATTAAGTTCAAGTTTCCCCTTTTTAGTTCGTTTACAAAATGACTGGGTCCCCACTCTGTGTACATCTGGGATCTTTTCTGAAAACGTAGAAGGACATTCAGTTTACAATAGAATATCTGATCAACAATTCTGAGTCCTTTCACACGATTCATCATCCAAACCCAGACATGCTTGAGAGTGAAAGGGGCATTTAGAAATAGATAATTTTTAAAAGCAACTATACTCCAATAAAAATTAATAAAATTCTAATGCCTATTAAAAAAAGGAAAATGTAATTTTTGAAACGTTTACTTTTGCTTAGTGTTTTGCTATACAAATGAACTTAAATAGTTCTGTTAAAACTATTCACAAGGATTTTTTTTCTAAAAAGTGAGTATGTATGCACAGTAAATAAATATTTAAAATTTTAAATAATTATTCTTGCTATATATTCACAAACATCAGTCAATTTCTTAGCCATATTTCTAAGTAAGGTGTTACTGGCATTTTTCTGAAGAATAAAGATTTTTCAGTATGGTTTTATTATTTTTTATAATGTTGCTTGAAATCTTTAAAATTGCTTTTCATGATTAATCATTTCAAAGATGTTGATACTTTAGCTGTGAGATTGCTAGGACTGCCACAACAAAATGCCACAGTCTAGATGGCTTATACAACAGAAATTTATTTCCTCATAGTTCTAGAGGCTAGAAGTCTGAGCTCACGGTATCTGCTGGGTTGGGCTTCTTCTGAGGCCTCTCTCTTTGGTTTATAGATGCCCGTCTTCTCCACATGTCTTCACGTGGTCTTTTCTCTGTTTGTCTCTGTGTGTGTGTCTTAATCTTTCAAAAGGAAACCAGTTATGTTGGATTACAGGTCACCCTAATGACCTTGTTTTACCTCAATTACTTCTTTAAGGGCCTTATCTCCAAGTACACTCAGTCTGAGGTACTTAGGATTAGCACTTCAACATATGCATTTTGGAGTGATACAATTCAGTCCACAATAACTCTACTGATTTTTCTTTGTAGGCCAGAAAATTTTTAATTGAGGAAAACTCTCCTTACAGATGCTCAGAGGAAATTCTGCTAAATGGGTATGTGTGTACTCAGTCACTCAGTTGTGTCCAACTCTGTGATCCCATGAATTATAGCCCACCAGGTGCCTCTGTCCATGGAATTTTTCATCAAAAATATTGGAATGGGTTTCTATTTCCAAGGGATCCTCCCTACCCAGGAGTCAAACCTGTGTCTCTTGTACCTCCTGCATTGGCAGTGGATTCTTTACCACTGAGCCACCTAGGAAACCTGCTAAATGGGGGATATTCTCAATTCTGTTTTTTTCTACTAAAATGTTTTAATATTATAATGCTAATATTTTCACAGATGCTATCTGTTTGCTTCCATCCATAGAAGATTTCTTCAACAACTATCTTCATGACTCCTTTGACTATTTCCGCAAACTTAGATGCAAGATTGTACACCTCTTCAGTTTCTTTCTAATCTAATTAGTAATAAATATATCCAATTAAAAATCATACTAAAAATAGTAGCTCTATCAAAATGGTCTTCTTTACAAATTAAAATGTTTCAAACTTTTAAAATTTCAAAATTTCAAAATTGTATGTTATATAACATTTGAGCACGTCTTGTTTAATTTGTTCAGTGCCTCTTTCAGAGTCTTCTTATTTGCAAAATTCTTTTTTGATAATATTAACTTATGAAAACTTCAAACATTAAAATGTTTTAGAGCTTCTCCATTAAATACTTTGATAAAACATTTATAACCAATTGGGAATAAAAAGGAACCAAAATGTAGAAGACATACAATTTTTTTAAAAATTCAATACTACTGTGGAACACTTTGAATTAATTAAGAAGTAATTCTTTAATGGTCCAAACATTTCTAAAATCAAACAGAAAATAGGCAGCAAAGAGAGGAAGCTTGTACTACCACATTGATGTATATTTTCTTGACTCAACACCAGCATTGTCCAAAAAGTTACAGATCAGTTACTCTTTACATATAAAAATATTTGAAAATTTTATAACTTTTATCTTGAATGATAGAATGCCATATTTTAAAACACATTAGTGAGTGATTTGTGATTTCAGCTAACTCCCAGGACATTTCTGCTCTGTAGGGTTTTTTAAATTTAGAAAGAATATTTTTTGTGCATAATGTTGTTTTCCACTGACATTTAAATTCATCACCACAAAAATAACTTTTAATGTTGAACTTTTAAACTGAATTTACAATAGCATTTACGATAATGTCAGATGTTTCACCTTTGATGAAATGAACCACAAAAAGCTTTACTTTGATTTCATGAACTAGGTGAAAAAATCAACTATTATTAGAATTAGCTTATCTGATTTTCTATATAATGCATCAGATTACATCAATATAAATTTGGTATTGTGTGAAAGCTGTGAAATTATTCTGCAAACAGTTCCACTTATATAATTGTGTGCACACATACACACATACATACACAGTAAGTAGAAAAAGAGAAAGATGAATTTGGTACTTCTGTTCTATAGGAAAAGTGTTCTTATATTTACCTAAATTGACATTTTATGCTTCACCAAGTGATATAAAAAACCTTTAGTAACTACCTCTGTTAAGTAGTCAAATGTAAGTAAAATCCTCTTAAACTAATTAGTAATTTAGAAATAGATGGTGATGCTTATTCAGCAGATTTGTGTCCTCTGGTTTTCATGCAATACTCAACAACCCTATGGTAGACAGTTAATGTCAACTAACATCTTACACAAGTTATAAATCCATCTCAACTTTCTTGGAATATGGAAATTCAGTACTTAATTTTTCATTCTATAGTCACTTTAATTTTATGTAGCTTATTGCTAACAAAAGCAGTTACTGCAGGATCCTCTATGACCCACATCCCAGAATATTAGAAACAAAAGCAAAAATAAACAAATGGGACCTAATGAAACTTAAAAGCTTTTGCACAACAAAGGAAACTATAAGCAAGGTGAAAAGACAGCCCTCAGATTGGGAGAAAATAATAGCAAANAAATCTGGGGACGTTACAGAGAAAATTTTAAGGAATTCTTTGAGGACCTGAGTGTCCCAGACCTTCTGAAACATCCCTGGAATAAATTCATTCTGTTTTAAGGCCAGAATTCATACACCCATCTCACACCCATGACCAGAATCTCATCTCAGAACTCTTCTGAACGTGACCTAATATGTCTGATCTTGATTCTGTATTCATTTTAATATATCACATATATTTATTCTGCAGAGCAAGGCAGATGTCATAGTTTCTGCAGATTCTCAACACCTATGGTCCCTTCACATTGAAGGCAGGAGGAGAAGGGGATGACAGAGGATGAGATGGTCAGATGGCATCACCTACTCGATGGACATGAGTTTGAGCAAGCTCCGGGAGTTGGTGATGGACACGGAAGCCTGGCGTGCTGCCGTCCATGGAGTCGCAATGAGTCAGACACAACTGAGCAATTAAACAACAACAAATTATCTTTATTATGTTAAATGAAGACACTTCTGTGGATATTTGATTTAAAGTTTTTTTAAAAAAATAATAAATGATGGGCAATATGAAATATAACAAAATTTTAAGAATAAGAGCAAGATCAAATGTTCTTAGTTATACAATATTTCTAAAGTTTATGTCCACGTACCCATCAGGAAGACATGGAGAATGTAATGGTAGAGTAACCAAGCTAAATACAGAATCCAAAAGCAGAGGAAAGAGTACATTACAAGTCTCCATTCTAATTCCCATGAAAAAGTGAAAATGAAAGTGAAGTCGCTCAGTCGTGTCCGACTCTTAGCCTACCAGGCTCCTCCGTCCATGGGATTTTCCAGGCAAGAGTACTGGAGTGGGTTGCCATTGCCTTCTCCACTCTAGCCAGGCAGACTGGAGGAAATAGCTATCCCTAGCTGCTTCATCCAAGCACACGTTCATTTGTCAGTGAGTATCTGCAAGTGGTCATTGTAAGAGGCTATAGTTTAAGCTTTGTCAGAAAAGAGCAGGGCTTCCCTGGTGGCTCAGATGGTAAAGAATCTGCCTGCAGTGTGGGAGACCTGGGTTTGATCCCTGGGTTGGGAGGATCCCCTGGAGGAGGGCATGGCAACCCACTCCAGTATTTTTACCTGGAGAATCCCCATGGACAGAGGAGCCTAGAGGCTACTGTCCATGGGCTCTCAAAGGGTCAGACACAACAGAGCAACTAATCACAGCACCACCCAGAAAAGAACCAGGAAAAAAGAGATGGGTCATCACCAGTGATCATTTAGATTTAACCATGTGTTTTAAAGTAAGAACACTGTATACAGACCATGGCAGAAATTGAAAGCAGTATAAAGTGGAGGGGTGTCGAATCCATTTCAGATAACTTTGCTATGGCTAGTAGAAAAAAAATTTAAGTAAAATTTTAAAACCAGTAAAACTTATTAAATCAACAGGAGGCAAGGACAATAGTTAACAACTAGAACTATCCCAAACAAACTGAGATAGATAGAAACACTGCTCATATTCAGCTGATGAGATGGGAAGGAAAGAAATTAACTTCCAGGGGTTCTGCTTGTTGTTTACACTGATTTTGTCCAAAGAGCACAATGCCCAGAACCACCCTTCCCTGACCCAAAAAACGAGCTGGTTAGTGTGGAAACTCTTCCTGGCCTGGTGAGCTGTTCTCTTCCTCAGCTCCTTGGAGCAGGGGCCATGCCACCCTGGAGATGTCAGGAGGGAGATCTCCCACCCCTGCTGTAATGTGTATTTTCATTTTCTTGGTGCTTTCCCTTAGGGAACTGAAGGCACATTCAGGTGTGGTGGGGCAATGAACATGATGAACTAATTTTTTTTAAATGAGCTAATTTCTATATCATGCTGATGAACTTTATTCCTAGGCTCACAGGTGTGGAAGTGGAGTGTGTGGACTGTCCTGCAGTTGGCTATCATGCTCTGTCCTCAAACAAGTATGGTTTGCTTGGGTTGTATAGCCCTGGAGTCTGAGTAAACCTGGTGAAAGAAGAGTTTCCTGAAGGAGGAGATATAGTAAATTGAGAGTTCTGAGTTCAGCCACTTTTCTAGGTCCTTTTGCAAGACCATTTGGAGGCACACTTATGAAAAAGAATATGGATCTGATTTCTCTTTCCTCCTAGACCTTCCCATTTCAACTCCCCTTCTGCCTCAGGAGGGGCCCAGAGCTCCAGAACTTCCCACAGAGATGCTCAGAGAGGTCCCAGTCACTACCCCTCCTCTCCCAGCCCCAACCTCTCCAGCCATCTAGGGAGCAGGAAGGCAGGACTTCTCTTTTACACACAGGAGAGTATCACACAGACTTATAAATCAAAGTAGACATGAGTTATTCTGAAGCAAAACTTCCATTTAATCATCATTCTGTTCCTAGAGTCCCCAGTGGACCCCACAAGGGGATAGCTTAAGCCCAGTTACAGCAAGAGCAGCTTGTGTCAAAGACCAGACCTGCCTGACAAGCATCCTCATAGGTATATGTGCATCCACGCAGTTGTAGAAGGCATGCTTGCTGGTGGGGCTGGGATAGAGACTGCCAGACTTTTTGGCACAGAATCCACTGTCGTCAGTGCTGCCAGCCTTGCGAGCTTCAGTGTTTGTGGAGGAGCCCACAGCAGAGCAGGGCACCCTGCAACCTGAGAGAGTAAGTAAAGGAACCCATAGGTTCTAGGGTGCTCTCCTTTCCCAGCACAAGTGTTGTGTCTGTAGTGTCACCAGGGGTTCCTCATGTTATCTGAACAGTGGTTAAATGCTCCGGGCCTGAATCAGTGATACCCGAGTCCATAGCCCAGCTCTGCCATGAGCTCAGTGACCACAAACAAGTCATTAACTTCTCTGAGCCTCAATCCCTCCCTTTACTTGTATTAGAGACACTAATCTGAGAATTGCTCTGTGAAGCATTTCCCAGTGTGTATGGTATGTAAAATAGTAAGTGCTGCACAATGGTTAGTTTTGTTTTTAGCTTATGTTTAAGGGGGAAATAACGCTTATTTATCACCTCCATCCCTTAAACGCTTGCCCAAATACTATGTTCCATGTGTGCTAAGTTGCTTCAGCCATGTCTGACTCTCGCGACCCTGTGGACTGTAGTCTGCCTGGCTCCTCTGTTCTTGGGGATTCTCCAGGCAAGAATACTGGAGTGGTTTGCCATGCTCTCCTCCAGGGGATCTTCCCGACCCAGGGATCTAACGTGGGTCTCTTATACCTCCTGCATTGGCAGGTAGGTTCTTAACCACTAGCACCACCTGGGAAGTCCATACCTCCCCACCAAAATCCTACAGAGTGGAGGAATTTTAAAAATCATTTTATTCATGTCGTAGGTGGGAACTGAGATTCAGAATGAGTTCTGTCTTGAGTACAGAGCCTGTGCAATGCCAACTACACTAATATCTTTCCTTTTAAACAACTTTATTAGGTATGACTGACATATAAAAAACTGTTAATGCATACAACTTGATGAGATGGAGATAAGTACACATCATGTTTACCACAATCAATGCCATAAACATGTTCATCCCCA